GATGAACGCCACCTCAGTAACGGAATCTCGTTGGGATTTTGACTCGGCCATCTTCTCCCAATCTTTTCACCAAAAATAGGTACTGATTCATACGCCCATATGAGATACGCATGCACAAATCCATGAATACTGTAAGTGTCTCCATCTAAACACGCAACTTTAATAGATTCTACTAAATGCTTAAAAGCATGACGACCCCACGGATAACTCTCAAAAGCATCTTCATCCAACACTCGTTTTGTGCACTTCAACGGCACTCGACTATTCCGGTTGAGGCCAAATATTCCGACATGCAGGAGAAGGAGCTTTGCAACCATTTTCTTCTTCGCTTCACTCCATGTCTGACAGCGCTCTATGACACGATCCAACTCATTCCAATTAGGACCGTCGAAGGTTTTGACACACATCTCAGCCCAAAACGAAGTGTGATCAATGTCCCAACCATCTTCGACAATTGGATCACAGTTGAACCGCGTAATTTCTGCGAACTCATGCAACGAAAACCTCAACGGTCTACCACCAATCAAAGACCAAACCTCGTATTGCCTGTCCACGACCAATTGGTTGGCTATGAACTGATGAACCATGTGTGAACTCCAAACATATCCCCTAGTTGCAAGCTTCAAAATTGATCCAATTGCACATCTGTTCATTACATCATTAAATATATCATCGCAAATGTTCTCCCTCAACTTGCCGAAATCAGTCAGGTGACAGCCATAGTTAAAGCTGTGCTCCTGTAAGGGAGATTTTCCAGGCTGATGCAATCTTGGGGGATATTCTTTCGAATCACTAGCTGAAGCCATCTAAGAAGAAAAGAAAAGAGAACAAGGTTACCAATCAACAAAAACAACACCAATACAAAACAACACCAATACAACCTCAACAAAAAACAACAACAATAACAATACAAAACAAGACTACCACATTCGTCAAAAACAAGTCTACCAATAACAAGTCTACCTCACACCAATAACAAGTCTACCACTCGACACAATAACAAGTCTACTATAAACTACGGTTATATTCAACAAACAAGTCTACCAAACAACCATTACATTTCTACAAGTCAACAAAACAAGTCTACCATACACTAATAACAAGTCTACCTAATGCCAATAACAAGTCTACCACTCAACACAAACTACGGTTATATTCAACAAACAAGTCTATCAAACAACCATTACAATTTTATATGTCAACAAAACAAACAATTATATCTAAACCTGAAACGACACACAAACAACTCTATCACAATGCTATCTATAAGAGTCACAACAAACAACTCTACCTGACCATAACATAAGTGAAATAGACTTATCTCTTAGTAGTCTACCAAATATGCCTGTAAAATTCCTTCGAAAAACTCACCGGGAAAAAAATTCGACGAAGCGTAGTTTTTGAGGAAATCACCGCGGACCAACTAATTCCTGCACCGGAAAACAAATTTAGGGTTAGACAGTTTGCACAAGACTTCGCCGGTGCCGCCTCTCGCCGACACATCCGACGACGGTGAACGAACACGAATCAAAAAACGAAACAAACCAAAGATTTCAGCAAAACGAAGACATATAAAAATTACTTACCAGAGACGCAGACCAGGCCGACGACTAACGCCGATGAAGCAGAGAACGAGGAAACACCGGAAAACTGGGTTTCTAGGTCGTCGTCGTCTCGTCTAAGCCGTTGTCTTCGTTTGCAACCGAATCGCCTCTAGGGTTTCGAAGAACAGTTTTTTTCTGGAAACTGAAAATTTTATTTTTTTGTTCTACATTTATTTCGAAGAAAGTTATAATTTACTGTATTTTTATCACAATATATTTACTATATTTGTGAATTACGATTTTATAATGCATAAAAAAAACAAAACCAGATTTTCATTT